TAAATAAACTTCTGAAATCTGAAATGTTTTTGAAAAATACCTAGATGCTAATCTGCTTTCAACTGGGTCAGCTTGTCTTTTTATGGTCAGAGGGACTTATGGGTTGAATATTTGTTAACCCATGAGACTAAAAATTCCTTGCAGCTAGTGGTGAATCCAAAGGGATCCATTCATGAATGAATGAATCCAGATTAAAGAATTGCCCAGCTTATATCACTTGAGAAATCACTTTAATACCTAAGTTTTGTTTAGAGTAAAAGTTTTAATGAGTTAAATATGTACATCTTTACAATATTACTATCACACAAGTATAGCAAATGTAATACTTTGTTTTAATAGCAGAGATCTGAATTCCCTACTTACTGGAGTTTTTCTTAATATTTTTCCCACTTTATTTTCTCATTTTCTCTTTATTTATTTTTCCTGGACCATTTGGAAGTATCTAATATACAGTTGTATATTCAGATTTCTCCAACTGTTACAAAATACCTTTTATCTTGGTTTTATAGATTTGATCAAAGATTCAATCAAGGATTATAAATAGCAATTGGTTGCCAAGTCTCCCTGGTCTCTTTTCTGAACTGTCTTGTCTCCCCGCCTTTTTGGTTTTTCTTATTTTGTATTTCATGACTTTAACATGTTTGAAAAGTTTAAGATAGTTGTCTAGAAGTATGTCTTTCAATCTTAGTTCATCTGACTGTTGGTTTCCTAATGATTAGATTCAAGTTAAACATTACTAGCAAGAGTACACTACATTCGTCTCTTGAGAAGGTACATGATGGTGGTTAGGCTGAGTATAATTGCTTGATTAAGCTGGTGTTCATTAGACCTCTCCATGGTAAAGGTACCTAATCCTCTTGATAACCTATATGTAATCTGTGGGGTAATTCTTGGAGACCACATGCATATCCTGTTCCCCAACAGTCAGTCATTCACCTGATGGTTTTAGCAATTATTTTTGATCCTTATGTAAATTAGTTACTATGTTGGTGGTTGCAATATGGTACTAACTGAATTTTCGAAGTTTCTTTACTGGAGAAAAATTCTTTTCATCCCATTGCTGTTTGGGGAAAATCTAGGCCCCAAAGACAGATGGCAGAGGAGTTGATGAAAGTGAAACTCAAAAACAGCTATCCAGACATACATTAATATTTAAAATGTTTGGAGTGTTTTCTTTTGTGAGTTGGGTATGCAGGAAAGTTCGAGAGAGAGAGAGATCTTTTAGTTTTGGGGATTTGCACCTAAAATAATATATCTTGATTAATGCAGGTGAGGAAAAACAAAGTAAACTGCCATTCTGATTTCCTTCTAGACTAAGAGAATTCAATAATAATGAGATGAATTTTTATTCAGCAGTCACAACCTAAAAAGATACTTGATGTTTGCCCTCCCATTTGAAAGTGCCTCAGAAATAGTTCTTTATAAAGCATGTTAGATTGAAATCGAATGGGCAGCAAAGCCATGGAATTCCTCTGCAAGGTGGGATAGTAAACAGAAATTGTTTAGTAAGGGGATTTCTTGATCCAGGCTTATAATCCTTTTGGGAATTTATCCTAAGGCTTTTGTACCTACCCTGCTCATGCCTGACTCACTCAGCACCTCAGTGTTATCTGATGAGCATCTTATTTCACTTTTGAAAGCAGTGTTGTTCTCTTTGTTGTGGTGTTAGGGGGTAGCAGGAAAACCTTCACTCTAGGCACTGCAATCTAAAACCCACCCATCCATCTTGGAATTAGAGAGTACCCTGCATACAATATCAGTTCTCCCACTTGCAGTTCATAATGAAAAGACTTATTTTTGAGGCACTTAACGATCCCTCCTACCTAAACAAAATTGTTCTTAAATAATTGGGGTAAGAACCTTATGGGCACTCTCTATGAATTTATTGATAATTTGCTTCATTTTTCTTTTCATTGTTTTTGTGAGAGGATTTTGGACACTGTTTTTGCAACCAGGTAAACCTGGACCCATGCATCCTCTTGAGCCGTGAATTTTCACATGATATTGTTTAAGTCTGGAAAAATAATTTGCCCCTGTTTTGCTGGTATGCTTTGATCACACGGTTTTTCCTTTCCTTGGGTCCTGCTGAGTAAGAAATTGGCATGGCATGGGGTGGTCTATAAAATGTACATTAGCCTGTCCCGATTCTGTGTTTGGAGAGAGCTGAATGCTCCGTACGTTTGCTTGATAATTTCTCACACTACATGCTGGTTTATGTTACGGCATCGTTATAGATTCTAGAATATGAATGTTTAAGGCAATACCTTGCTAATTCAATCAAGCTGAGCTTTTTGAGTTTCAAGGTTGAGCAATTTACTTGAAGGAATGATTTTAGTTTTGAGTCTTGAGACAATGGATCCCAAAACTTACTGGTTAATTAGATTACCATGTGCCTGGCAAGTGCAATAATCTGCTAGAGTCTTGAGGTTACAGCAAAGCTAGTGTCTTTTTTTTGCTAGGAAAGATTCACTCTGAGCTAATATCTGTTGCCAATCTTCCTCTTTTTTTTTTTTCTCCCGAAAGCCCTAGTACGTAGTTGTACATTCTAGTTGTAAGTCCTTCTAGTTCTTCTCTGTGAGCTGCCGCCATGGCATGGCTATCGATAGATGAGTGGTGTGGTTCCATGCCCAGGAACTGAACTCGGGCCACTGAAGCAGAGTGCACTGAACTTTAATCACTAGGCCATCAGGGCTGGCTCAAAGCTAGTGGATTTGGTGGGGGGAGGGGGGGAGGCTTTGGTGAGGAAGATTAACCCCTGAGCTAATATCTGTACCAGTCTTCTTCTGTTTTGTATGTGTGATGCCACCTCAGCATGGATTGATGAGTGGTGTGTAGGTCTGTTCCCGGGATCCAAACCTGTGAATCCCGGGCTGCCAAAGCGGAGCACGTGAACTCAACCACTATGCCACCAGGCCGACCCCAAAGCTAGTGTTTTTTAATGACCACTTCCAGTTTGCTCTCAGCCCTTTTGTTGTGTAGGGGGCTTCCTTCAGTCCCAACCCCATGTATATGACACAAAACAGAGAACTTGTCATAGTTTGGCAGGCAGCTAATAGTGTCATAGCATATTTGACACTGCAGTGAATGAGGGGGTACTGAAATAGTTCCTATCTTTAAACACTTTGACTCACTTTCTGAGATGTAGTGTGACAACCCCAAAGAATATTTAGAATTCTAATTCTGTACAAAGAAATACAAATACTCTTTACAAATATTTATTGCAAAGGCTTATAACATACCTTGCTTGAATCTTAGAGGTAAGTTCATACCTGTTAAGCAGGTTTAATCACTGCTGAAAAATAAATACAAATGTGTCAGAAATCTTACTAGTGAACAGGGCGTTTTATTCATTGTGGGCAATCTCTTAAAGTAGTTCATTGTGGTTGACTTTTTTTTGGAGCTTGACTTAATTATTAGAGAAAGAATTAAAACAACAACAAAACTCTGGATACAACCACCATGATGATAGAAGATGTCATCATTCTTTTAGTCATATCATAGCATCTAGTCTAAAGCAACAATAAGTCTCCATGTATATTTGTTGAATTAAATTTTCAGATTAGTTGCTAAATTCCCCTGGTCTTAGGTTTCTCCGTCTGTGGGTCACTTGACCTTTTACAGATTACCGTTTTCTCTTCTTCCTACCCCCCGCCACCTTTCCTGCTCTTAACTGTGCTGGCCAGTTTTGATTTAAAGAATAACAACTCTAAGTTGTTGTATTTCACTTTTTAAAAAGTTATATAGGAAAAAATTCAGCGAAATACAATATATTCAAAGCATTAAAAAAATTATATAAAGGAGCCATCCTGGTAGCGTAGTGGTTAAGTTCGCACGTTCCATCTCAACGGCCCGGGGTTCTCTGGTTTGGATCACAGGAGTAGACCTAAACATGGCTCATCAAGCCATGCTGTGGCAGGCATCTCACATATAAAATAGAGGAGGATGGGCACAGAGGTTAGCTCAGGGCCAGTCTTCTTCAGCAAAAAGAGGAGGATTGGTGGCAGATGTTAGCTCAGGGCTGATCTTCTTCTTCAAAAAAATTTATATAGAGACAGAGAGAGACCACTCTGTACCAGACAGTGTGTTAAGATCTTGCAGTAAAGAGAAACTAAGATCTGGTGCTTGCCCTCAAGAGATCAGAGCCTATAGGTAAAAGAGTCATATAAAGAGAGCTGAAAAGTACAAGTCATGGTGTGAGGGTAGAAAGATGGGGGCTGGGAGACAGCTTAAGAAAGGGCATGGTCAGCTTTACCCTGACGGGTCAATCTTGGCCTCATAGTAACCCTAGAGTGGAGTCTTTAAGGACGAGTTCCCCAGGCAGTAGGGGAGCACTTGAGAAGGCAATGGGGTAAATTCTCCAGGGAATGGAGAAAGTAATCCCTGTGTTTTGTGTGTTGGCCCTTATGAGAAGCGAGAGTGTCCTGTTGGGGAATTTGGTGACTGTAGATTCAAAGAAGATCTGGGAGAAGAAAAGGGCAGGGCGTTGTGAATGCTGCTAGATGTGGCGGATATGCTGCAGTTTAGGAAGGAGGTGCACAGGTTGGATCTGGAAGGAAGTAAATGAAGGTTGTGGAACAGGTGCAGTAACAGGACTCAGAGTCTTGGTGAAGTCAAAGAGCAAGTGAAGGTGGAGGAAGGCTTCCAAGTGAGCTAGTCGAATGCGAAGATGTTCTCAGAGAGGTGGATAAGTAAGAGTCTGGCTGAGAGGAGACTCAGGGCATGACCATGAGCATATATGGCTGGAAGAGCCCTATTCTTTGGTTTCTTCCCTCCCATTTTACTGTCTTTCCCTGGGCACTGTCTCTCACATATAACCAGCCAAGATCATACACTATAACTCCACACCAATTTACCCAGGAACTTAATGTCCTCCACCTTAGACTAACCACATTTGTAACTCAAGCAACTTCATATACAAAAGCTTTTAAAATCAACCCCCCCCTTGTTGAATTGATTGTTCTTCAGTACCCAATATGTACCTTGTACAGACCATTATCATCCACTACTCTTGATAGTCATATGTTTACCTGGCTTTATCGCTTAAGTAATAAGCCACCGGAGCCCAAAGTCGAGTTTGTTTTTTTGGTGAGCTGGAAAAGTATCTGGCACTGCTTTGTACTAAATATTTGTAGAAGGAAGGAAGAAGGAGAGGAAGGAAGGGGGCAAAGGAATTGAAGTTGAGGAAAGGAAGGAATTTGAGACTAAAGAATCCTGTGCTTTACCACATGATCTCTGCAGGTCATATAGTTTGGGAGCAAAGGCTGAAGACGGAGGGCTCTTGAGTACCTGGAGGTGAATAAGGAGGGTGGGAGAGGTGAGTTGATAACAATAACAGGGACAGGTCAGGGACAAAAAAGTGAGTACAGCCTTCCTCAAAGAAGTAGACATTTAGAGGAAAGTGGAATGACAGTTGCAAAGGAATTTCAGAGGGCACAGCGGGGAGTGGGCTGGGAGAGGACTTAATTGAGTCAAGAGCTGCTGAAACCCATAACTTTTGGTAAATATTGCTTCTGTGAGGGAAATATTTCAATGAGAATTGACTCGTAAACTGTCACTCTTGGATGGCCCTTGGGTCAAGGCTTCTGGAGAGGATGAATAGTAGCAACAACAACAATAATAATATCATTAAGTGCTTGTGTTATCCCATTAATTCTCACAGCAACCCTATCATTATATATTATTATCTTCCCCATCTTACAAATGAGGAAAGTTAGCCTTAGACTGGTTAAGTAGCATTCCCAATGCTCACATTGCTTCTTAGTGGGCCGCTTATTCTACCCAAGGCAACACATGCTAGAACCAGTCAGGTCCCCTAGGAACCTCAGACCCACCGTCTGAACTGAAACACTACCCATTGAATTAGCTTCCTGACTGATTTGTTACCTGCTGCCACTGCTCGAGCCCTGGAAGTTCAACCAGAACCATATTGCCACCTTGGCAATCTGATAGGTTGTACTGCTACTTTCTGAAAATGGGGATTTGGGTTAATGATAAAACAGGTTAAAATACATAAAATAAAGGAAATAGGGTGAAAAACAATGAGAAGAAGACAGAGGAGAGAAAGAGAACCTTCAGGTTAGGAAGGATAATACTACTTAAAATTCCCTGAGAATACATTTTGGTCTTCTAGACAACATGCAAACTTTCAGCCTGGGTCAAGATGGTGAGCAGGAAGAGGAAGACATGGATAACAAGAATATGTGTTTTGTTTATTGGAAAAAAATTAACTCGTGGGGATTGTAGAACAGGGGCTATCAAAAAGTTTAAAAATCTGGTGATACAGGGGATCCTAATTCGAGGGATTCTTGAGGTTGGATTCTCTTGCCTCTATGAGAGGGTCTTTTCTTTTGAACCAGCTGATGGGGGCTCTTGGTGGCCTTCTCAGGACGCCGTCTTCCCAAAAGTGAGGAGAGGACTTGCTGCCTTAGCCAGCGGAAGACCCACCTGAAGTTCAGACAGGAGGGGGCTTGTGTGCCGGAATGAGTGTCCTCCTCTTCTGGCTGGCCTGAGGAGGTTGAGGAGGTCTCTACAGTGCTTGCCCTTTGGCTGCCAGTTGTCTGGCTTAGTATCTGCCAAGAGAATGGATGACGAGTTAGACACCCATAACCTGACAGCAGTGGGGGTCAATATTTACCTATGTATGGAACTCAAATCTTTTTACCAGAAATAACCCAACAATAAATGCAGAGTTTCAGTACTCATTAATACTTAAACTCATAAATAAACAAATAAACAATATATATATTGGGAGGGAAGAGTCATAATTCTTAGCCTTTTCTTTACTTTCCTACCCTCTTCTCTTCCTCAGTGCTTCTTGGAATTTCCCCTTCAACTCTACCCTGACCTCCTTCCTTACTGTTAGCCTCTCCCACTCCTGGTCATGTCAGACACCCAGGGTGCCCGGTTGTGTGTCATAGAAGGTACACACCTGCTATGTGTTCCAACCTGGCTCCCCCCTAACCAGACCTGTCCCTTGCTTGCCTGTGAAGCATCTGTTTACTCACCTCAACAGGTTCGTGTTCGTGAAGCCTTGGAGGAATCTCTGGAAACTGGATGACATCTTCATTTTCTGGTGGGTCAAACTTGGGCAAATCTTGACAAGTATGTTCTTGATGAATGTCCTGAGCTATATCTGGAGAGGAGCTGCTGGACAGCTGGAAATCTTCCTCCTGAGCAGATTCAGGGAACACAGAGTCATCATCTTCATCATCTTTCTGATTTTCTAGAAATTTCTCAAGCTTTTGCACCAGACTGTCCAGTTTGCTGAGAGTTGGTTGTTTCTTCTCTTTGGGGTACTTGTCTGTCCACTGGTTGTCTCCATTTAGGTCCCAATTAGCTACGGAGTCTGAATTATTAGAGTCCACATCAACATCCCAGGCCAGGGTTATGCTTAGTTTGCAAAACTGCCCCGGGTTGTCTTGAATTTGGTCTCGTCTCCCCAGGAGTCTCCCTCTACTTTCAGTCCACCATGTCCCTTGGATAGGAGGGATGAAGTGGATTGAAGGACCCTCAGGAGACATGTCTTCGCAGGAGGTTGTGTTCTCATGGGAGAATGTGTCCTCACAGGGGAAGTAGCCCACTGAGAGGCTCAGGTCTGATTCGGAGCTGCAGTCCTTGGTGTCAGTCCAGTCGCTGCTGGAGGATGAGTGAGCCATGGAGTTCAAGGGCTCAAATCTCAGGTCTCCCTTATCTCAGCAATCTTCAAAAGAAAGAAAAAATAGGTGGGATTGGGGAGAAGAAAGAAGTCATGGTACTTAAGCCATAATATTATTCATTCCATTTTCTATTTGGAACCATCCTATTCCTACAGAGGTCCATCCTAATTTTTTTTCTTTTGGTGAGGAAGATTGGTCCTGAGTTAACGTCTGTGCCAGTCTTCCTCTATTTTATATGTGGGACACCACCACAGCATGGCTTGATGAGTGCTGCTAGGTCTGTGCCTGGGATCTGAACCTGCGAACCCCAGGCCACTGAAGTGGAGTGCACAAACTTAACCACTACACCACCAGGTCAGTCCAAAGGCCATCCTATTTTTGCATTTTCAATGAAAGGCAAAAGAGGCAACCCTCTCCCTTAAAAAATTTGTTTCTTTGTATAACAATCCTCTCTAAGCAGCTCCTTCTGATACCTCTCATCATCTGTTTTACTATAGTTGAAAGAACTTGTATTATAAAACAAAATAATCATTGTATAAAATTTGAAAAATATAGAAAAGTATACAGATGAAATTAAATATGCCGGTGATCCCACTCTCCAGAGGTAATGATAACCATCATAAAAACATTTTGGTGAATTTCCTTATCTTTTCTTTGTATGTCCACGTATGTACACACATATATTTGTACATATACATATGCACGTACACATATGTACTGGATGTGGATGTCACATCAGTTGTTGAAATTGAGATTGTTATATTTTATGATACAACCTACATATTATAAACAAATATATGGCTATTCTGTCATTTTAAACCCCTTCCTTATTAATGACCATTAGGTGGTTGTTATTTTAATAAATAAATATACAGTAAACCCCCTTAGTAAATCTCGGTCTTTCTTTACGTTCGTAAATGTGGGTTTAATGGATCGAAGATCACAAATATTTTAAAGGTTCCTGATAGTTGATACCAAATCGCTTCCCAGAAAGGTTATAGCCATTTAGATGCACATCCTCCCACCATCTGTTGGCACTTTTTAGTCCATCTTTTTCTGTGATGTCCCAGTAAGTAAGTGAGGGTAGGAAAATGCACACACCTGCACACACACATGCTCTACACACACACACACGTTGCAGACTCTGTCATGCCCTGCTCTGATGGCTGCCCACATGAAAGAGGTGCTACCAACTCCTGAACCATAAATTGGGGACGTTAAAAATCCTTCAGATCCCGAGTCTCAGTGACTAAAAGTCCAACTGCCAGAAGTCTGTGTTCTGGGACTGTTGGTTACTATGGCAACACAAGGACCCAAGTTATAGTCAGAAATGTGGAAAAGGGAGAGAAATCTGCAGGAGCTATCCCCTTGCTTCCAAGACATTTTATACATACCATGCCAGGCTGAAGAGGATCCTTCTTGAGGGCAGAAGGACAAATGTGATGGTGGTTACTTCCCTCTTGTCATGTGGGTGTCTAAGATGGTTCCTATCTTAAGGGAATTTTGAGCCTATTTGGTGAGATGGATATAAACAGTCTGTTTTAGGGTGGAGTGGTAAGTGCAACAACAGAACTTCAAAATAATATCATGGGAGAATGAAAGGAGAGCGCCCAGGGTAGGGATTGGGGTGGGGGTATCAGGAAGGCCTCCTGGGGGAGATTACTTATGGTCTGAGTATTTATTTATAGGGGAGTAGAAGTTAAAGAAGTAAAAAGGTGGGTAGGGCTTAGGGGAGAGGGCCTTCCAGGCAGAGGGGACAGCACCAACAAGGACACCCAGGTGAGAAACAGCCACTTGGGTGGGGAGGTCAAGCGCAATGAAGTAGACGGGGTCAGTGAGATCATGGAAGGCCTTCCGCCCCCATTAGGGACTTGGATTTTCCCCTGTAAGCCTGTACCTGGATGGTGGTATTCATTTATTAGACATTCTTCTGGGTAATTCAAAATGTACTGAAGCACTTGATATGGTTAAAACAAAACAAAACTTCCAATGGACGTGGCAGCATGAATGTTATTGGTTGGCTGTCATGAGAATGCAATCAGTAGGTTTGCACTGGATTGAGGAATGAACGGGAGGAGAGTGGGTAGGAATAGTAAATATAGACTATTCTTTAGAAGTGTCTGAATGAGAAAGTGGAAGGAGGAAGCAGAGTTGAGGTTAGTTTCTGCACACACCCCCCAAATAAAAAAGGGATAAGAAGTCAGTACAGGAGACAGTTTCAAAGTCTAAGACATGGGCTGCTGCTCTTGGAGAGAGTAGGCTGGGAGCCATGGCATGGGCAGAAGGATTGGTTGTAATAAAAAGGGTGTGTTATTCCCTGATATTAGAAGGAAAACAGTAAAGATGGATGTGGAGAAATTGGGAAGAATGCATTGTTGAGGGCTTCCATTTTCTTCTTTGAGAGGCTTCTGCCTTATTCCTGAAGTTATGTCTGCATTTTTTTCCCACCAATTCTGTTAACTGGATCTCTGTCCTTGTTCCCAATATTATCTGTCTTGATAGCCCCTTCAGTACCATTAAGTGTCTTGGTCCTTCTGGAACTGGAGGCAGCATCCCTGCTGCTCGCCAAGCCCTCCCACCTCCCAGGCTGCCCTTCTCTTAACCACTATCATTAACCCTTCCCTTCCCAATGGCGTCATGAAATTATCTGGGCATTGGTCAGATTGTAGCTCCTCAGTGATGCAGTCTGGTCACTTTGCCTTCACTGCTCCAGTGTCCTTAGTGGGTACTTGCAGGTGGCGATAGTAAATCTTTCATTGTCTGGTTCCAGATGTCTGATTCTCGGGACAATTGTGGGTCCTGTAGGATGGAAGGCTCTCAGTTGCATGGACTAAACCAAAAAGAACCCTTTTCTATGAGCAAAACCATCTGGCAAATGTAGTTATAGCAACCTCTAGTCTAGTCTAAACTGTGGGGCTTTGGGTTACTGTTTCTAGGTCCAATTCAGTGATTCTCAGGAAGGGATAGACTTCTTATTCTTTAAAAAAGCATATTCTTAAGTTAACATTGCTTAGATTTGCTTTTGGTCACTTTTTAAAAAGTTTTGTTTTAAATAGGATTAAAAGAAACTGTAAGTTGTTTATTTTTATCAAAAAAGAGGCATGGTTTTAAACACACACACATGGAAAGGAAAAAAGCCAAGAAACACTGGTCTGGTTGAAAAGAATCTCAGCTCCTTGGAATCTATTGGTTGCCTAAGATCTTGCCCAAATATTTTTCTGTCTTTATTTTAATTTAACAAGTTTACATTTGAAGTTTGCTGTGACTTCGCTGTAGTACCAGTTTAAATTTCTAGGTTCTGTTAAATTAGATTCTTTTAGATGAGTCTGTTTCAGCAGTTAGATGATGATGTAAGAAGTAGGCAGATTTGGAGCTGGGGAGAAATCATCTCTGCTACCCAACAGAGGCAGTCAGGTGGCCACAGACTGCCCACAACTCCCATGAGTGATTGGGGGCCTAGATTAATCCCAGGGGGTGTAAGTCAGGAGCAAAATACTCCCTAGCATTTATTGAGCACTGACTACATACCAGGTCCTGTTCTAAGCCCTTCACATGTGTTTGCTTAATCCTCGCAGCAACCGAGTCAGCTGAGTATCATTGTTTGCTCTGTTTTACACACGAAGGAACCAAGACACGAACAGTTATGTAACTTGCCCACATTCCCAGATCGTAAACCCTAGAACCTGGATTCAGACATAGGCAGTCTGGCTCTAGAGCCCATATTCTTTCCCTGTACACATTCTTGTCTCTTGTCATCCCTGGATGATTCCTGGGAGAATTAAGACCCTCCAAAATCAACCTCATATTCTGGCTCTTTGAGAGAAACTCCTTTACTGGGGCTGTGTTCTAAGGGACATGCCAGAGGTGGTGTATGTGGTACGTAGGACTGGTCTGAAACAATGGCCTCCACATTTGGGGCAGGCTAAAATGAGACTTAAAGTGAGTATTCAGTTTCTTCTTTGGCATAATGAGATCTGGATCCTTCTACTCAGGCTTTTCATAAAAATTCTGTGACTGCCTACCAGAACACTGGGAGCCTAGAAAAGAATTCGTAAGTAGCTTTCTTTCCATGCAGCTGGAGTGAGGGTGAGGGAAAAACTGTATGTTGTACCGTTACCCGTGGAAATGGAACACTTTGAACTAAATATAAACATTTAAGTAGGAAAAAATGACTTCCCAGCCTAAACTGCTGAAGTTTAGAGTGATCTGGAAGATAAAAGAGCTTCAAACGGGGGAAGGCTCAGAGAAAACTTGAAATTTTATTTATTTATATCATACCATTTCTCTATGTTTTTCTCTCTGCCCCTCTCTCTATATATCTATGTTTCATTTTAAATATACAACTCAGGTAGTGAAAGTCTCTGAAACTTAACCTTTTTTCCCAGAAAAAAGGATAATCTCTGTTAGTTGTTTGATGTGTCTGTTAATTCATTCAGATATTTATTTTTTTCTAAAGCATCATTGAAGTAGCAACAACGCACGTCATCTTTAGGATGCCATGCTGAGGAGTGTAGTCAATGCTAAAAGGTCACTTAGCTTTCACCTATAATAACGGATCAGAGGATTTTTGATTCTCATTAACAATACCACTTGTGTCAGTTTCTTTCTTAGGGCCTTACTTTGACTTGCTGGTCTAGCCTTTCTTGGATCACAGTTATATTATTTAAATAGTATAGCTGGCTCATCATTATCTTTTTTCTTCAAGTAAAATCATCCCTAAAAAAGCCTCTTGAGGTTTTAAAAATGATAGATAGTGTGTCGTGACTTTACAATGTTTTAGGCCTGAAGCCAGTAATACTGGTAACTATAAAAATTGGCACACTTCCTAAAACCCGTTTGACTTGAAGGGATTTGGCACCTAAAGTATAGAGTAGGAAGTTTCTGATCTAGAAGTAAAGCTACCGTTATAGTTAATTGTATGTGGTGACTGGGCCACAGGGTACCCATATATTTGGTTAACATTTTCTGGGTGTGTCTGTGAGGGTGTTTTTAGGTGAGATTAACATTTGAACCGGTAGACTGAGTAAAGCAGATTGCCCTCCCCGAGGTGGGTGGGCACCATCTAATCCTTTGAAGGCCTAAATAGAACCAAAAGCTGAGTAAGAAAGAATTTGCTTCTGCCTGTCTTTGAGCTGGGCCGTTGGGCTTCTCCTGCCTTCAGACTCAGACTGGAACTTATATCGTCAGCTGTCCTGGCTCTCAGGCTGTTGGACTTGGACTGGAACTATGCCGTTGGCTCTCTTGAGTCTCCAGCTTGCAGAGGGCAGATCTTGGGACTTTTCAGGCTCCATAACTGCATGTCCCAATTCCTTATAATAAACCTCTTTTTCATTTATATAAGTGTGTATACGTGTTTATATGCATATATGTAGATACACATTCATATATCTGCTATTAATTCTGTTTCCCTGGAGAACCCAGATTAATATAGCTACTTGTTTTTCATTTTTTGGAATTATGAAATATTTTAGTAATACAAAAAGAGATATCACAGACCCTGTGATACGAGGCGCAGAGAACACAACACCATTTCTGTGGTAGTCTTGCCCATAATGCATAATCTCAGCCTAATAATGAGCCAGTGTCAGACAAACCCCAATTATGAGACATTCAACAAAATAACTGATGAATGTCAAGGTCATAAAAGGCAAGAAAATACTGAGAAACTGTCACAGACCAAAAAAGAGTAAGGAGAAATAACAAGTAAGTCACTGCAGGATTCTAGGTAGATCGTAGAATAGAAAACGGACATGAGTGGAAAACCTGGCGAGATTGCAATATGTTCTTTATTTTGGTTAATAGTGTTATACCAAAGTTAATTTCCTGGTTTGATCATTGCACAGACATGAGCCACATAATGATGTATCATGTTAATGACGGCCCACATATACGATGGTGGTCCCCTAAGATTAGTACCATATAGCCTAGGAGTGTAGTAGGCTGTACCACCTAGATTTGTGTCAGTACACTCTATGATGCTCACAGAACGATGAAATTACCTAACAACACATTTCTCAGAACGTATCCCCATCGTTAAGTGACGCATTGACTGTACTGTGGTTGCGTAAGATGTTAACATTAAGGAGAATGGGGTGAAGGTCATGTGGATACTGTGAGACTTCTGTGAAAGTCTAAAATGAGGTCAAAAAGAAAAATTTTTTAAAAGAAAACATAAAAGTACAGTAAATGATGTAGCAAACACCTATCTACTTACAACTCAGTTTGGCTGAGTCTTAACATTTTGCCATATACGATCCATTATTTTTTTGAAAAGAAAGAAAACATTCTAGATAAAACTCAAGCCTCCTTGTATTCCTTCTCACATCACCTTTGTTCCCCGCTTCTCTCACGATCATTCTGAATTTGGTGTTTATTTATCTCATGCATGTTTTAATATCATTTTACATATTAATATATTGTTTTACCTTTGGAGACAAAAACTAATGTAAATATGAATTTACCTAATACGACTGAACTGTGTACTTAAAATTGGTTCAAATGGAAATTTTACATTATGTGTATTTTATCACAATAAAAAAAATTGAGAGGAAAAAGCCAGCGTAAATGGACTACAAGTCATGCTCTTTAGAAAAGAGGAAGTCTCCTTAATCCCTTAACTTGTTTTGTTTTATAAGAATTATTGTGACAAGGACATCCTTCTTCCAAATCACATTCTTAGCTGACATATTTACGGTGTTTATTTTTGGGATTAGGGAAAGGATGGGTACAGTGTCCTATGCTCTGTTAGTGTGGTGGTTCCCAAAGAGACAAAACCTTATCAAAGCCCCATTTGATTAAAGGAGGGTGGTGGTGA